TATATATATGCATACATATATATATGTATGTATGTATGTATGTATGTATATGTATGTATGTATGTATGTACGTATGTATGTATGTATGTATGTATGTATGTATGTATGTATGTTGGTTGTTGTGTGCATGTGTACATGTGTGTGTGGGGGTATATGTGTATTTATATACATGTACATATGTGTATATAAGAACGATTGAATGGACACATACAGGAAGATGTACAAATTTTAAATAAACAAATGCATAATCAATAAATAGATAAATAAGTAAATAAATGTATACATACATACATACATACATACATACATACATACATACATACATACACGCATGCATAGATAGATAGATAGATAGATAGATAGATACATATACGTAGATAGATAGATAGATACATATACGTACATATGCATACACATTCATATGCATACATGCATATGGTTTATATATGTCTATCCCGACATGTGTATGCATGGTAACATGCAGGAATGAGCACGCACATACATGGACAAGCAACCATCTATGTGCCAGTTCTGCGAATACGCAGTTGAGCACGTAAGACTGAATCAGTCAAGGTGGACTGTCTGTGTTTGAATACAGTCATACATAGGGCCTCGCAGTCATCACCTCTTGCTCAGCGTTGGCTCTTCCGCCCCATGGAGAGCTGGTATTTGTCGCAGGCCCTTTCCGAACAAGAGCTTCAGGAATCTCACAAATGGAAGCAATGGCAAGTGGAAGAGAACTACGGACACCGCAGTCACTTGCTGCACGCTCTTGCTCTTCCGGCAGCTTGCCAGCATGTTTCAGGTTGCTTCCCAGAATCCCCAACCAACAAAGTGCGAATCTGCTATGGTTCGAGTGAGGCGGATGCATCAGGAATAGCAGTGCACAGCCCAGAGATGAACTTGACCTATGCAGAGCTCCGGAAAGCCGTTCATCACTTGGCCAGTGAATTGGTCGATGCCAGGGCTCCCGGCTTCCGCGTGGCAGTAGCCATGCTCAAAGGCTGGGAGGAAGTCGTAGCATGCCTCGGCACGCTCCAATGTGGTGCGAGCTACGTTCCTCTTGAGATCACGGACGGGCGCTGGCCTTCGGTGCTAAGAAAGGCAGACTGCCACATGCTCTTGATGACCCCAGCCACCCGTCGCGAGAGCGAGAATGCTCTGAGGCAGCTGGACATTCAGCTGAAAGAGATCGGAATGGAGTGGTTGCACCAAGCGCTTCAGGCAGCAGAATCTCCCCAAGGTCATCTTGAGATCTCAACAAGTGATACAGCCTACATCATCTTCACATCCGGATCCACCGGAGAACCGAAAGGAGTGGCCATCTCACACCATTCTGCTTCAAACACATGCATCAGCATCAATGAGCTCGTTCGTCTGAACAAGACCGACCGCGTGCCTTGATTCATGCTGAGCCTTGCATAGCGCCAAAGAGTCTAGAAGCTGAGCCCAAAGCCGAACCGTGGAACAACAAAAAGACTTTTCTGATTCTAAGGTGCTGGCATTGTCGAGCCTGAATTTCGATCTCTCTGTGTATGACATCTTTGGGACGCTTGCAGCAGGTGCCACCATTGTTCTGGGTTGTCCCAGCAAGTTGAGGGACTACCGCTACCTTTGTGAACTTGTCTTGGAGGAGGAGGTCACCATCTGGAACTCAGTCCCCTTGAGGTTTGAGTTCCTGCTGCTATGACCCACTCTCCAGCATGGCTTTTTCTTCCTCATTCAAGTTTGGCACCATTCTCCTACAACAACCTTTCCCAACAGTCTTGCCTTTGGTTTTTGCTGACTAAGGCTGGAAGAGTGGAATGACGATTCTAGGCGTTTGCCCATCCGTGTGGCCTTGATCAGCGGTGATGCCATCCGCACAAGTTTCGCACAAAAGGCCGGGCACCGATTGTTGTGGCTTGTGGCTTCAAATGTCTCAAAAAGCTCTGTTACTCGGACCAACAAGCCCTCTGTGACTTCATGAAGCTCCACTCGACTCTTCGCGTTGACAACTGCATTCCTGTTGACAGGTCAAGCTGCGATTTCCGCAAATGAAGTTCTTGGCTTTGGGAGGGGCCACTGAGGCGTCCATATGGAGCAACTGCCACGAGTTCACAGACGACTCCCCGAGTGATCTTCCATTGGTGCTTTATGGAGGGCCTCTACCGAATCAGTGCATGTATGTCCTGGACTTTCTCCTGCGTGTCCGCCCTCCCTACGTCTTGGGCGAGATCTTCATTGGCGGTCTAGGAGTTGCAAAAGAGTACTTCAAAGATCCCGAGCGCACGAGCTCAGCTTTCATCTTGCATGAAAAGTTTGGCCGCTTATACAGAACTGGTGATGAAGGTCGGTATCTTCCGAGTGGAGAGATTCAGATCATCGGCCGCATGGACCAGCAAGTGAAGGTGAATGGATACCGTGTGGAGCTCGAGGAGATTGAGAAAACAGCCAGTCAGGTCTTGAGCGGCGGCCGAGCTGTCGTCGTGGCGAAGCGAGATGCTGAAGGTGTGACACATCTTCGCGGCTTCCTATGCTTGGAGCCCGATGCTAAAAGGGATGAGAAGGAGGTGAGCTCAGCTGTGCGGACTCACTTGCAAGCCGTTTTGCCCTCGTATATGTGGCCGGAAAGTTGGACTCATCTTCGCGAGGTACCACACAGTTTGAACGGGAAGGTGGACAAGAGCAAGCTTTGGGACCTCGGAGGAGAACCGACTTCGAATGCCACTTCGAAGCAGCCTCCTTGTGCATCGCGCGTTCATTACCGGGAAGTCCTGCTGCAGCATGCGAGGGGCCTGCTCCAAAAACCGGCGTTGGACAAGGATGAGAACCTGGTCAGTGCAGGGATGACGTCAATTCGCATGAGGGAGTTCAACGTCCGCATTTGCAAGGAGCTGGGCATCCGAGTGCCTACGCACGCTGTCATGGACCATCCAACCGTCGCGAAGTTTGCAGAGCACTTGCTGGACTTGGGCCGTCCTCCAGCAGAGCCAGAGGATCGTCTGAGCCCTCCGATGGGGAGGCCCTTGAAGAGCTCGCGGATGTTCATTTCGAGCTTCGCCCAGAGGTTTCCTGGCAGTTTCAGTGGTTTCTACCGAGGGACCGACTGCCAAACGACCGTACCTCTCAGCCGCTTCGACATCGAGGAATACTTCAGCCCGGATGAAGCTGGGAAGGCCTACACTCGCCATGGCGCCTTTCTTCCTTCCGTGGAAGCCTTTGATCCTGGCAGCTTTAACCTGAGCGATGCTGAGGCTGCAGGAATGGATCCACAACAAAGGCTCGGCCTGACAGTGGCAAGGGCAGCTCTGCTTTCAATGCGCGATTTGAAGGACTTGGCGGTCTTCGTGGGGCAGATGAATTACGACTGGATGGTTGCATCCCGGGCGCCAGCCCCCTATGGAAGCACCGGCATCGCACCCTCCATCCTTGCGAATCGCATCAGCTACTGCTTTGATTTGCGGGGTCCGAGCATGTCAGTGGACACAGCCTGCTCATCAAGCCTTGTGGCAGTGTATTTGGCCGCCAGGCATCCCGGGAGTTCCCTGGTGCTGGGCTCCACTGTTTTGTTGGCGCCGGACATGTACCTCACAGCTTGCAAAGCTGGCATGCTCTCTCCAAAGGGCCGCTGTGCCACGTTGGATCAGAGCGCAAATGGTTTCGCACGCGGAGAAGGTGTGGCTGCGGTCTTGTTGGCACCAGACTTTGGACAGGCTATCGAAGAGAAGTCACAGCTGCTGGGCGCGGCTGTGAACCAGAGTGGTAAGATCGGAGCAATCACGCATCCAAACTCCCATGCCCAAGAAGCGGTGATTCGCCGGGCCTTGGGCGCCAATGCCTCCGAGATTCTTGCCCATGAGCTTCACGGCACAGGGACACCCCTTGGAGATCCCTTGGAGTCAGAGGCCCTCGGGAGAGTCATGGGCAAGAGCGAGGTGGTGCTGCAGGCGCTGAAGACGCATTGGGGACATCTTGAGGGCTCAGCAGGCCTGGCCGGCTTCCTCAAGCAGGTCCTCTTGGCCCATCGCCGGGTTGCTGCCCCAAACTTACATCTGCGGCAGCTCAATCGGGATGTGGAGCTGCCTGGTGTACGATCGCAGGTCTGTGTCTGACACTGTCTTCTCATCCTTCCGGCATTGTAACCTACATAGACTTGACCTTCTGTGGTTTGAAAAGTTCAAGGGACTTACGGAGAGACCCTTAAAGGGACCCTCGGGGTTATATAGGGGCTTTATGAGACTATACCAAGGGTATATAAGGGTTATCTAGGGTATTAGGATTAGGGGTCCCTTCTAGGGGTCCCTCCCATTGTCCGTTAAGAAGTGAGGTTGTCGGGCACCAAGCCCACGCTGGAGGCTGTGGACCTGCTGGCGAGCTCCGCTAAAGTTGCCACGGTGTCTTCCTTCGGCTTTGGTGGCAGCAATGCATGTGCGACCTTGTCGATCTGTTCCGAGAGGAGCCGCCGCAACATTCCCGAGTTTTTGGGCGTCACGCCGGCGGGAAAGTTCTTTCCGGCTCGCATCACCCCGGTGAAGCTCACCCGCATGTGTTGGCACAAGGTCCAAGACTCGTCACCTGATGGCCAAGTGGTAGTGAGCAGGCTGTTTTCACATGTTGTTCAGTCGGAGGCTTCTGACGAGGACACGCTGAGGACGGAGGAGGGCGGGATGAACTTGCTTGCCTTCCGATGTTGGCAAGAGCTGCCTGCCGAGCAGCAAATCCAACGCCTGGAGCTTTGCTGCGCAGAAGTGTTGGACACATTGCAGCGGGCAGCCCGCGAAGGTGTGCCGTGGCAGGTGATTGTTGCTGGCAGCGGCCGGTTTGCGGAGGCTTGCTTCAGCGCTGCAGCCAGCATGCTGCGCAGTGCCCAATGTGAGCAGGAGCTTCATGTGCAGGCGCCTGGCGGCTGGGGTTTGTAAGTTTTTCCAAAGTTGTTCAAACCCTAGAGAAAAAACCAAGACCATCTAGATCGTCTTGGGTTGCGTATGCCGTACGCCTTTGCCTTTGACGATCAGGTCGTGCTGGTGGAGGCCAGTGGCTGGCGAGAGGTGGAGACTGCCCTCTCCGTGGTGAGCTTGCCGCCAGCTTCTGAAGAGCCCATCTGCCGCGTGGTGGCCGGGACAGTGGAAGTACCTCGGCTGGAAAGGTGGCGTGCCGAGTTGGTGCAGGACGGTAGGATCGGCGTTCGCATCGGCGGCCGCTACGTGATCACTGGTGGCAGTGGTGGATTAGGAACAGCCTGTGCGCAGTGGCTCCTGAACCAAGGTGCCGGCTCCCTGATACTTCTTTCCCGCAGGCGCCCGGCCATATGTGATGGAGCTTGCCCGGCCGAGTGGTTTGAATGCGACGTCTCCTTGCCTTCGGCTTTGCAAGAGGCCATAAACCAGATACGGACAGGGGGCCCCGTACATGGCATCATCCACGCCGCGGGGGTGCTCGCCGACAAGCTGCTGGCAGAACAGACACCAGAAGATCTCCATTCCTGCATGGCCTGCAAGATCGTCCCCGCTTTGCTCCTGCCGCAGCTCGAGTGCGAGGATTGGATTGTGAATTTTAGCTCCGTGAGCTCTGTCTTGGGGAGTGCCGGGCAAGTTGCCTACAGTGCCGCCAACGGCTGCCTCGATGGGTTGGGCCAGGCAGCTCCCGATCGTGCTCCACTTGTGCTGACGATCCAGTGGGGCCCATGGGCGGAAGGCATGGCCTTTCGCACGGAAGGTGCTTTGCAACATGCTGCAAAGAGGGGTTGGACCCCCTTTACTCGAAACTCCGGCCTAGGAGTCCTCGACCTGTTGCTTCGCTGTGGTGCGCAGGGGACTACTTGTGCGCTGCACGATGGCGAGTGTGGTGCTGGTGGTGATTGTGAAGGTGAGCCCAGCGAAGTGGTACAAGAACCGCGGGCCTCATCAGCTTCACCCTCCATGAAGCCGTCGGCAGTGGAAGCATCTTACGAGGAAGTGCTGGGCAGGGTGCGGAGGGTTGTTGCACAGACGGCGGAAGATGACACTTCCGACACAAGCCCCTTGCATGAGGCCTTGACTTCCCTCAGTCTTACGGAGCTCAGACATCATCTAAAGGAAGAGTTCAGGATGGATTTTCCCCAAACATTGATCTTCTCATTTCCGACAGTGAAAGAGATCGCCGGTTACATCAGTGGAGAGTTGAAAGACCCCTGGGTTGAGCTCAGAAGTTCTCATACAGCTGGCATGGTCTTGTTCCTTGTGGGCGGTGCTGCCGCTGACGTGCAGAAGTCCTTTGGCGATTTTGCCGAAGGGTATAGTGGTCGAGTCTTTGCAGCTATGCCCCCAAGAGCAAGAGACATGACAATGGACCGAGTCCTTGAGGAGCTTGGACCGTCCCTGGAGCGAAGACTCCGAGACTTGAAGGAGCCTTTCGCGATAGGTGGCCTGTCCTTCGGGGCCACGGTGGCCATGGAGCTAGCCAGACGCTGGGCTGATGCAGCCCGGTATGTTGTGCTGCTTGACCCACGCAACATACCTCCCTACAGCCTGCCTGCAGCTTCTCTTCGTGAGCCACTGTGGTACGAACGTATCTGCATCGGTTTGGAGGCATGCACCCTTCCGATGCCTGCAGTCCATGTCTGCGCAAGCACGGCGTCCCGACACAATGATGGCTTCAAGGCGAGTGCATCTCAAGGTTTCCAGCGGGACGCTGAAGTCCATGATCGGCTCGAGAAGATCTTCAAGCAGGCCATCTTGCCTGTCCCGACAAATGCGGACCACTTTGAATTCCTAGATGGTGAGAGTGCCTGCGAGCTTGCAGAGAAAATTGTGGAGGTCATGAAGCTCGAAGAGCTCAACGAAGCAGAGGAGAACATTCCAGGTTGTCAGAGGCCTAACATGTGGGCAGAAGTTGCAGGCTTCGCGTGCAACTTTCCAGCAGGACAACAGGGATTCGATGCTGTCCTCCAGTCTTTGCTTCGCGGCAGTGACGGTGTCTCAACAGTCCCCTTCTCCAGACTGGACTTGGATGTAAGCTCCGTGTACACCACTCACGCGGCTTGCATCCCGGAAGTGGAGTTCTTTGACCATGAGAGCTTTAAGATCAAGATCCCTGAGGCCCAGGCTATGGACCCACAGCAGCGTGTACTCTTGGAGCAATCAGCCGTGGCCTTGGGCTCATTGCGCACGCGTGATCACCCGCTTAGCTTCGGAGTTTGGATCGGTCAGGCGAACCATGACTGGCTCTGCCGGAGTTGGCAGAGTAATTCGCCCTTTGCAGCCGGGGGTGCTTCGCCGTCCATTTCTGCAAACAGGCTTAGCTACATCTTCCGGCTCCTCGGCCTGTTCTTCCAGCTTAGTGGCGCTCTGCATGGCTCGGGATGCAGGGGCCGGAGCACTAGTTGCAGGCACTCACGTCTTCGCCGATGTCCATATGTTCGCAAAAGCTTGCAGCACAACTGCCCTGTCAACTCGTGGCCGCTGCTTCACCTTCGATGC